CACGAATTATCGCTGTTAAATTCTGTTAAATCTGGGCTGAGTTTTAAACAACTCAAATCGGACTCATCCGATTCGAGGTCGCGGCTCGAGAAACATCGTTTCACCGCAGGTTGTGCTCGTTCCTGACAACCGGGATACGACAATCATCGGTACCGATCATCGTATGTACTGAAGCTTCTCGATTCTCGGGCGAGGTTTAAATAATTTAATCGCGTGTAATTCCTAGAAGTGGTGCAAGCGAGATTGGAATTTCAGATTGTCGTGTGGTGTGACTTTATGAAACCGAATAATAACTCGGTGGAATATATAATTCGTGGTAACGTATCATTCACGAGCTTTCCACGAACTTCCTGTTCCGCGCCCTTTCAACCCTTTTTTACGAATCTGTTCGCGATCAGAGTGATAACTCGACACTTTTCGTAGCGTCGTGACGTTTGCAAAAACAAAAGTTGCAACTCGCAAAGTTACTTTGGTCGATCATATAAATTGGTAATTCTACCGAATTGAAAATTCCAGCCAAAATTGGATGAAAAAAGAATTTCTTTGAATACTTCGTGTACATGGGGGGGGAGGGGGAATTTCTACGGAGCCGAAAGGCAATCTGTTACCTCGTTAAATTACCATAACGCCGGGCGGTAAAGAGCGCTATTAATTTGTCACCGCGACAAATCGCTCGCTCAAGAGCAGACTGTCTTTAATTGAAGCTTCCGGTGCTCGATGAGGTCACCATTTTCCTCGCGATTCTTCACCACTCCCGACGAGAAGTCTCTCCTCTTCCTCCTCCTCCTCCTCCAGGAAGAGTGTGCAGGCCGTGAATTCAATTTAGAACGATCGATTGGACGAGTAATTGAGATGCACCGAAAATAATACGCCGGGAACGAAGACGAGGGATAAAGGGAATATTAAAAGGCTTATGAATCTGACCAGAATTGAGAAAATTATTATCTCGAGATGCAATTACTTAAAAAACAAGTGGTTTGACAAGACGATTTTCCACAGGGAGAATTATCGTTCCCCCGTTGTTTTCCTATGTGGGACAATCCTTTAACGAAATGGAATTACCGATTACTACAATGTGTAGTTAATAGTGTGACGAAAGCAGAGTTTATTGTACGCATCTTATTTTCTATAAGATTCTGTATTCATTCCTGTCGACGATTCTAAAATGAAATTTCCATCCGAGACAGTAAAGTAATCAGAAATGAAAAAAAGCTTTAGCTTTCATTCATACATTTTACATTTTAAAAAATCATTTAAATATCTAAAAATACTCTTTTACATTTATGAAATTTCTAACAGAAATTATAAATTAACCGTTTTGACCACCTTTGGTGGATTTAATGTTAATAATTGAAGAGAGGAGTTTGAAAGTGCCATTTTTAAGGAATGAAATTCCTTTTTCCTTAAAATGGTTACTTGTACGAAGGCGAATATCAGTAAATACATAGGGACGCATTATCATACAAATTTTTTGCATTTCGAACGTGACGTAGGATGTATGTTATTTGTTTCCTAAATTAGGACATTGAGTTTCGTCGTTGTGCAACGATCCCCCCTGGCGGACTGCGTATACTAATTATATAATAATATTATTACAGAGGAATAAAGCACATAAGCTTTACACATTACAGAGACGTGAAACACATAATGGACTTCTTGAAATTCTTTTCTAAAATACAAAATATCTTCCTAGAAGACTTTCAACCTTTTTAAGCAAACGTTTTCAAGAATCCTTTCCTGAAATAGAAAATCCTTTTTAATTAACGAGCCTCTGAAATGTCGAGCCAAAGATAATTACGTACCAAAAATAAGTTTTGTTATATTTTGTTATTTTAATAAACAATATTTTTCGTAAATTATCTCCCACCCAAACTTTGCTTTCGACACTTACAGTCTTATCTATTTCCATTCTTCAATTTCAGAAGCAAGAAATACAGATATATCGTCGTTTTGATAGACTCGATCGTGTTGACTATTTGTTTCTTTCATTATCTTGCCAGGCTAACGAATATGCACGCATATAGAAAGAAAGATATAGCTGCTAGAGAAAGGATACCGACAAAGAGTCGTTGAAATATCGTAACGATCAAGATGTTACGATTCAGGATAAACAGCGAAGACAGTGAGATTAGGGTTATTAAGCACGGCAGATCTGCACTATAGATTGCTTGAGACGGTGCAGTTGCAATTTATAAGAATTTTCACACACGAAGAACTCATGCTCGTTAGTACAATACGTTCGGTATGTATGTTCTCGAAGCTCGAAACGAACGTTCGAGGCGGCGAGCTCGAAGGACCACAAAAGTAAATTCCACCATAACACGCGACGCGCAGTCGTAACTAATTATTCCCGATAACGTTGGATTATCCAGTAATTACGCGTATCGCGATGAAAGAAAAGAAAAGAAGAAGAAGAAAAAGCAAAAGAAAATAAAAAGGGTAAAGAAACGAGAACTTGCGAGAGGAGCAACTCGCGTGTGTGTGTGTGTGTGAGTCGATCAAAATGCGCGAGTCGTCCTCGGCAACGTCGATTGCTATCGAAATAATCCATATCGAAAGAATCCGCCGTTCAGACGCTGTAAATTTCATTGTACGCGTTCAAACGTAATTGCCATTTTCGTGCGAATCGAGATTTATCGAGACGTGTTGCGAATAGCACTCGCAGTGAAGAAGCTCACTTCTTAATTTCTTTGTTCCACTGCTGGGAATACTTATGAGCGCTTGTAAACAATAGGATACGTGTTGACGAAAAGATGTAATTAATAGACGTTCTAATATTAATATAAGATTAGTGTTCGAACACCTAAAGTATACCAATCTGAAAGTTTGTTATAACAAAACGAAATCGTGCAATGATAAACTTGGGCTGCTTTCAACACGCATCGTCGATTTTATTCTGAAATATTTTTACATTACATAGCGAGTGGATAAGTCAGCATACTTTCCTTCTTTTAAATTGTCATAGTGCGTGAAGAAAATGAACAATTTCTTTCACGACCGAATCCACAACGATCTAACGTGAATTTTCATTGAACAATTTGCAGCATCTGCGAGAAGGAAAGCATCGTCACTTTGTCATCTGGTAAAAACGTCTTAGAATAAAAAGGCTTCGAGCTTCAACACGAATCGGAGTTTATTGTGTCGTTTCCCTTTGCAGAACTATAACAGTTTCAATATTTAATATCAACGTCGGTCATTGCGTGTTTGTCATAGCTTTGTATATTCTCAAACAATTTCAATATCATCAGATTTTCAAGCCATCATTTTCACGTCAAATATAGGACCACGCGCTAAAATCTCTCAATTTATAATCATCAACTAGGAAAGCAACAACCGTCACAACGACCAACGATCAAAAGTCTACTCGCATTATCCA